GCTCCTGCTGGGCAAAGCAAGCTGGTCCGAGCAGTGGCGGGAGGCACCACAGCTGCCAGGCAGTCGAGGGCTGCAACACTGGCTCTGCCCAATGTCCCCAATCAGCGAGGCACCGTGCCCAGCCCTGCTGCACTCTGCTGCATCCCCATTCACCCTGACTCAGGAGGAGCCACTGCATCCTGGGATGCTGGAGTCTTCAAATTGGGTGGAACAGCTGTGGAGAGTGGCCACATTTTAATGAAACAGGAGGAAAATTAGGCAGATTAGAGAGAATCTTTCCCTGGAGGGGCATAACCTTAGGATGAATAATGAATGCTTTAAGCCACTTGAAAGGTGTTAATGTGCAGCCAGTGCAGGGGTTAAGAGCTCCAGAAGCTGCCTAAAATTACCGTGCAACAAGGCCCTCGGAAGCCTTCCCACAGCCATAAGCATGATTATTCCAGTGATCTTTGTTAAACAATGCCACATGCTTATGCTAGAAGAAATTTTTATTAGTGAGTCTATTTTTAGGTTTAAAAGACGATGTCCTTTAACAGTCTAGAGTGGCAGAGCTTCCCTGACATCCATCAGGCTACACTGGCACACAGCTCTGAAGGATTGACTGCTCCTTTCACTTCCTTCCTATTGGAAGTGTAGTTTGAATGGGTCCATACTGAATTCAGTAGGTGTCTTTGCCACCAACTAGTTTAGGGTAGGATCAAACCCTGTTGGAGTTGGACAGTCTCCCAAAGGAAATGATGGGTGCCCTGTTGCTTGGGGCACTCCAAAACTAGACTGGAGAAAACAGCAGTGCATAATTCTGCATGAGACCATATTTTAGGCTAGTGGAAGCTAATCTAATTCTATTGCAGCCATGGGGAACTAGGCCAATCTTTGTGTGAGGATCCAGCCCTTAAAGTGGGGATGGACAAGGGTGACCATGTAGGATGAAGGAAACATCTATGGACTCTATTTTGCAAAGCTCTGAATATGCCAGATATGATCCAGCAAAACACTTGAGCATGGGCTTGTTTTTAAGCACAAGCAATACCTTTGACACTAATGGATTACTTGCACATTTAAATACTTTTATGGATTGAAGCATGAATACTCACTGCCTTGTAGAATTAGAGGTCTCTTGAATTACTGTTTCCCTTTGCATTAATAATGGACGTTAAATGAAACCTGCATTCAACATGTTCGATGTAAACCAAGACTTTTATTTTTGTTGTTACAGATGGTACAAAACTTCCAAGATGAATCTTGTTTTGTTATTACCACGTTGAAAGGTGAGCTCTTCTGATGCTGCTTATTTTCTAACACCACTGTTTTCCCGAAAGCGTAGAAATTACTGAAAACAGTAGGGAAAGAGTTGCAAGGAGGAGAAGAATTGCAGCATGTGAATGTGGAATACAGGAGATGAGAATAGCCTAAAGTCCCCCTTCAAGTATGACTTTGGACTCCATTGCTGGTGGAGTCCGTTTGAGAATTATAGTTTTAAATAGCACTGTGGAGGTATATTGGCTTGAATTGTTCTAACCTACACGTCTAAAGTCACGTTCTAATTTCACTTTATGGCTCATCAACATTTATAAATTTATCATCCATTTTAAACAAGGAGTTTGCATTATGAAGAGCCCCTGGATATGCTGGCATAGGAATCTGGGAGTACAGTTTGTGGTAAAGGAAGGCAGCTAGCTTCTCTGTGATTTGTCTGAAGCTCTGGGTCACACCTGAGCTATCTGTGCACCTTTTCTGAAATGAATCTTGAGCATCCAACAGAACTAAAGAGGGCAACAAAACTCATGCTGGAGAAGAAATACCCAGGCCAGATCCTGCTCTCCATTATAACACTATAAATCTGGCATTGTCACACTAGCAGCTAAATTCTGCTCTTGATTGCACTGGGTTAGGTGGAGTGGAGCTCCACTGAGGAAGACTGTTACCTGGTGTGAGATAAGCTTAGCTCAACGAACCGATTATCAGGTACATGAGGTGAGGATCTGGCCTGTACTCTAAAATCCATTGACATCACTAGAATAAATGGGCACTACTGGGCCTCCAGGGTTTCGGTTAAAATGACAAAAGAACCCACCGATTTTTATACTGAGCTATAACTAGCTTTGGTGGGAAATTCAGTGTTCATCCCCATTACCAGACCAGAGCACAATCTGCAGCAGAGCCAAATCGGGAAGGATGCCTTCCTGCATGTTTAATAAAAGCTTTCATTTCTTCATTGCAGCTGAAAGCAACGATGGCTACCACATCATTTTAAAATGACCACTTGGCCTAGTGGGACTTTTCACAGCCTAATAACGACAGTGCCTCACTGAGGATTACTACCACCCAGACTGGAAACATGAAGAACCTTTTGGATATAGTGCTCCCGTGAACTGAAACGATACCAGATGACCTTGAGGAAGAACTAACTTTATAGCCCAATAGTTTTCGTAGGCTGGAGATGAGTGTCTCCCAGAGTCTGTACATACTATTTTTTCCCACTACCCTACCCTTCAGACCCTAGAGTTATTGAGGTCTCTGTTAATTGCACAGAAACACCTATCATATTCTAAAGGGAAATGCAAAACAATTGTCCTGCCCCTTCATGGTTGGGTATGGGTAGATTGATCTGTTATAGTTTCTGATGCCATATGAAACCATCTGTGACACAACCATAACCTTGCTGGGCCATATCTGTCATTCGCCGGGCTCTTCACAAGGTAGTGGTGACTACTACTGCTTTCTTTTACTAGAAGAGGTGACGGTGCTGATGCCCCTCTTTGCATACTAACCTAGTGCTTGGAGTACTTCTCCAGGATGTTGGAGACCTGAGGTTTAATTCCCTTCTTGGCCTTGGAGGTTTGTACTCCTATCTCTCACCTCCTAGGAGGGTGCCTTAGTCACCTTGGTGCAGAGTTGGGGTACATCCATCTTTTTTACCCTTCTGTTGAAACTGTTTCGCGGTCCAGGAAAGTACCCAAAACTCACTGGGCTAGACAGCATGCATGACTGGTGAGATATTGGTGACTGGGATACTTGGTGGAGGAGGAGATGGAGTTCAGGTCCCTGTTACCAAGGTTGCTCGTCTTGCACTCAACGGACTTGGGGTTAAATCCACTCCCCTGAGCAGGGAGAGATGTAGGTCCTAATATCTCAGGCAGAGAATGGAGTTGGACAAGGGTTGGTCACTATGAAGTTATTATGCAAGAGGGAGCATTGGCACGACTGCCATCACCTCCTCAGCCTTTTGCAAGGAAGGGAGCAAGCACCTGCTGTCAGGGACAGACTCCAGGTTGTGGATCCGCAGTGGACAGAGATGACCAGCATCAGCACTAAAGCACTGGGGAGAGGGAATCTGGTTTTAAGACCAACTCATGTCTTTAGCCTTTCCTGTTGGCTTGCACACGGTAGCCGGACACTGTACTGGGCTGACACTAGGTGCCAACCAGTCGGTCGCGGCTGTTTGTGATTCATGTTGCATTTCTCCTCCACCTTTCCCATCCAGAAAAAATCCCATATTTTCTGAATGAATGGCTTATCCTCTTACCTTCCCATTCATTTTGCCAACCAAGCAGGTTCTGGGCTAATCCACTTCTTTTCTTGGTACCCTGCCAAAGTCTCCCCAGGCCCCTTCCCTTCCCGTTTGCTCATTCAATGGTAAAATGTGCTTTCAAAATATTTTTGTAACTTTTTGTAGATCTATCCCATTGTTACCCCATGAGGTGAAAGGGGATTATTCATCATTCGAGTGCGCTGTCAGCAACACTCTCCATTCAGAAGAACTTTGCACAAAGAGAAAATGCATTCATTACAATGACTTTAGGGATTCAAATGAGGGGAAAAATCAGCTGGAGGGGAAGCGGTTCACACCACTTGATACGTCCAGCTTTAGAGTAGCCTCTGTTCAATAACTGATTTTGAGGGCTTATTTTTAAGACTGTAGACCCTTTTTTATCACTATAGATTTAATTCTGTTTGACAAAGCTTATGT